AAGCATACAATCATCATACAAACATACAGTCAAAGCATACAGCGGGTTACAGAGCAGCAAAATTAATAACGGTTGTTTCTCCTGCTTACAATGCATCCCCGAGAACTTTGCAAAAGGGTCCAACTTGACCAACAGACCAACAAGCACAGCCCCCATCACAACTCATGACGAACATCACTGGCAGCACCCGAAACAAACATGCTGACCAACTCAAAACAATCTAATCCATACCACCCAGCAATCACTACAGCTCCCTCTGACCCTTGGAAGATTATCGACCAAGAAGTTGAAATTAAAAAACACGACATATATCAAAATATCGTTAACTGGAAACCGCGCTTCATAGTTCAAAGCAATTACAAGCCTGGTTTCCAATTCATAGAATTACTGAACCAGCAGCTGTTGTCAATAGTAGAAAACACCGATTTCCAACGTCGCAATGAAAGCCGCATTGATTCTCCCACATCTGCTGCTCCTCAAAACTAAATCTGAAAAAAACGGATCAAGTTCCTAAACTCTGCGCCGCCGCCAAATTCTAGGGAAGCAAAGCCTACTAGAAGTTTTTAATGAAGCAAAGGCTCTCCAAATTAGACATTCAAAACAGAAGAAGTGCGAAGTAACCAAGAAAGTTAAACGACTCGATAAACCATTGGATACAGACAGAATATCTGCCGCCATTGGCTGCCTTTCAGACAGGAAAACCAAATAGAGTACTTCCCCTAAACGACGTTACTGAAAAAATAACAGACCTTATTATTCTGAAAGAAAAACAACTCCAAGCCAAAACAGCGACTACTAACTATATAACTGAAGTAAATGAAGACAAAATGCCATACCACCCCTCTATAATCGACAAATAATTGACAAGACAGGTGGAAATTCAGCCCTAAAAACGCGCGGAAGCTACGGTTCCTTTCAGACAGGAAAACCAAATAGAGTACTTCCCCTAAACGACGTTACTGAAAAAATAACAGACCTTATTATTCTGAAAGAAAAACAACTCCAAGCCAAAACAGCGACTACTAACTATATAACTGAAGTAAATGAAGACAAAATGCCATACCACCCCTCTATAATCGACAAATAATTGACAAGACAGGTGGAAATTCAGCCCTAAAAACGCGCGGAAGCTACGGTCCCTCATGTCTAGATGCCTGCGAATGGAGAAGGATTTTAACTCACTTCGACCAGACATTCATTGAGCTTAGCAAAACAACTGCTAGCTATCCTATGCAATAGCAAGTAAAGTTCTCCACCATGAAAACCTAACGGCCTACAACTCGTGTCCTCTGATACCTCAGGACAAGCGTCCAAGGGTAAGGCTCAATGGTATAGGCAAAATTCTGGGACGAATAAATGTCAAAACAATCACCCAATGTATAAAATCAGACCTTAAAAACCTCGGAAAAATTTTCCAACTCTGCTTAGGTCAAAAGTGTGGAATCGAATATGCTATCCATAGCTTAAAAACGAGTTTGAGAAACCGGAAACAGTCGCCACACTACTTATTGTTGCAGAAAATGCCTTCAATTCGGTCAATTGAGAACGTGCTCTTAAAAATGTAGAAATCCTTTGTCCGGCACTACATCATGCGCTGGCCAACTCATGTAAAAAATCCCTCAAATTGACATGTCAACAACGTGTTTTTGACATCTACCGAAGGTACAACGCAAGGTGATCTCCTCGCAATGGCTATGTACGGAATTTGAATAATTGCACCGATCGGGTCCCCGTAAAAACCAAATTTCAACCAAAAATGGTACGCAGATGATGGAAGTGCTACAGGTGATCTTAGGAGTCTCCGCGCAATGTTGGACAATCTGGGTGTGCACTGAAAAGCTTTCGAATACAATTTGCAGCACTCCAAGTGTCAACTCATAATAAAAGAAAGCCAACGGAAAAAGCGCCATAATTGTATTGGAAGGCAAAAATATTACAAAGGTAGACGTTTTTAGTAGACAGTTTTAGAGTCCTTGGGTCGGTAATAGAAACACGATCAGCATGCGATAAATACATGAAAAGCGTAATTGAAAAGACAACTACCCTAACTAGGAAGCTTTCCAAAATAGCTAAAACATCACCACACAATCCATACACAGAGAGGCGTTCGAAGTGAATTAGGCTTTCTAGCCAGAACAACTCCGGAAGCATTTAGAAAAATGGATGAAAATGAGAACAACGAAAGACAGCAGCTACTTCCTAGTAAACTTGGTAAAAATCAAATAACCGATGACGATCGGATTCTTTTTGCACTACCACTAAGATTGGGAGGATTAGACCTTCTCGGTAACACGGACTTTTCCAAAATCACGAGAAATTTGCGATCCGCTAGAGAACAGTGATCCAGAAAAAGCTTAAATGGAACAAACTCTGATAAATACAAACATCAAAACTGAGAGACAGAACATCACACACTCAAAAAAGGCTCAATCAATGAAAATTTGCTTATCAAAAAAAAACTGACAAAAAACTTGCATCACAGAAAGGAGCGTCGAATTGGCTAAGCATGTTACAATTTTTCCCTCGACAAATCAGTCTTTAAAGATTATTTACATCTGTGGTATGGTTGGGAACTACCAAACACTCCACATTCATGCCCTTGTGGACAACATTTCACACTGACCCACTATCTACACTGCACCAAAGAAATGTTAACGCACATAAGACAATGAAGGTCGCGATACCTTTGGGACACTCATGGACGAAGTATGCCATGATGTTGAAATAGAAACATCGATCGTTGGAACGCGAAAGCCTTCACATCAAAACATCCACTACTGACGATGACGCTCGACTTGACATCAAGGCAAAGGGACTCTGGGAGACCGATTCAGCCGAACCTTTTTTGATGTAAAAGTTTTCAACCACTATGCTGAATCCTGCCCTAAAACTGTATAATACCCTTGAAAAATCATGAGAGTGTCAAAAAATTAAAATACTAACAAAGAAATCTGGATGTGGAACTCAGCAGTTTTTTCTACTAAATTTTGCGTGTACCAAGTTCTACAAAAACTGTACAGAAATTAGCAGAGATATTAAGCGAAAAACCGAACGAATCATACTCGGGCAGAATGAAATTTATATGAACAAAATAAGTTTAGCACTTCTAAGGAGTGCAATCCTCTGCCTCAGGGGGTCCGAAAAACTCAAAATTACATCCAAGATATACGATTCCATTTGTGCTAAAATCGAGGGTATTTTTTAATTGTCATGTCTCTGGATGCATTACAATCGACTTGAATTTTTCATAAATTTTCGCCGATTTAATTATATAGCGTTGGTACGGCCCTATCAAACCTGTGCACGTACCAGAAGTTCGATGGGGCTCAAGAGTTTTGATCATAAATCAGCTCAGTAAATGCTTTGATGTTACTAGCGGATTTCCACAAGGTTCTAAAATGGGCCAGTTACTTTTTCTTTGCTCATAATTGATCTACCGAGTGAAGTGAAGTCCTGTTGTTTTGGCTGTGCGAACGACCACAAGCTGTTTCAATAAATTCTAAAGATCTACAAACAGAGATGGATCGTCTCAGTAAATGTTGCTGTGATAACAGCATGAGTTTAAAAATATCCAAATGTCTTAATTTGATCTTCAAATCAGATAATACATAGCATAAAAAACTTATAGGCGAATACGAGCTTTCAGAACCTGATAACGAGATATATCTAGGAATCATAGTATCGAAAAACTTCACATGCCAACCTCACCTTGCCTGCCAACTGTGAACAGTGAGTGTCAAAAGCCATTATAGCAGTTTTCTAAATCGAGCGAAATTTGTCAAAACCGTCATCATTATCATCAAAAGTAAATGAATACTCTGGCTACCTGGTAACAATTATATCATACGGATGTGAGGCGTGGAACCCAAACAAAACAGAGCTATAAGGCATTGAAGATCAACAAAGGAAAGCTACCAGAAGGATTCTTAACTCCTCGGCTATCCCTTATAAACAAAGACTTGAAAAAATTATATTATGTGCCATTTCCCCGGAGTGGCACATTCGAATCCGCCGCGGCACTAAAGAAATGACGATAAAGGCCTTGCCGATCGGTTACTAGTAAAAAGGAGGGTCAGATTAATCTGGAAATTTTAATTTTCGAAATTTTGATTCTCAGCGGTCTATTTCTGAGGAATGCAACAACGGCCATATTTGGCAAGAAAATCAGAAAAAAAGCAATCGAATTATTAAGACAGGAATCAGTTGGAAGAAGCGCTAGAGATACGAAGCTTTTTATCGTGGCAACAAGACACGATAAGACGCTCACTCCGAAGAAACCATACCGAAGGAAAGTCCAGTGAGATATCCGGAGCGGATCAATACCCTCCCGTGCCACGAGATTGGGAAGACAAGAAAGTTATCTCTAAGGGAAAGTGGAATTGGAGGCCCAAAGCCCAAAGACTTAGAAGACTGCAAACCTTACTTTTAGCTGCTGTGATGCCCTGAGTAGTTGAAATAACTCCAATTTTATATTGTATTTCGAAGCATGAGTTGCAAAAAAGAGGAAAGGGTGAATCCATCTCCAATGGATTCAGTACAAATTGTCACTAAAAACATAGTGAAATATTATATTTGAGCCGTGTTTTTAAATACAATCACATAGTCTGGGGAACCGAGACCCAGTTTGTGGTTGTTCTTGCATGTAAACGAAAGCTGATTAGAAGTCGTTTGACTGATGGCCTAAAAATGCTAACTTTTTCTTAGCCCTAAACAGACCAGAAAATCAACTGGCTAGGTCTAGGAGGGGAGAAACGGGTAGAATTTAGGTAACTGACGCCGGCCAGTTGTCAATGGGTGCTTTTTCTACGCTCCATCACTATGTAGTATTTGGGCGAATGTTACATAGACGTTTTATGGCGCTCATGTGTGGTCACAATTGGCGCGGTTCCACTGCACCCTCCATCGATTGCGAATTTCCGAGTTAAGGGTCTTAATTCGAATATCTTGGTGCAAACGAGGGTATAGTAACATTGACTGACGACTACTAATAGGTTATTATCCTTATTAAATATTACTGATCTCCCATTTTAACCCGAGAAACACCTCAATTTTGTCGAAAAATACTGATTTTCGACCAAACTGTTAACCCCAGAAGTTTTGGATATCGGAGTTTTTCGGACAACAAAAAGCTTCTGCGCAGTGAGCTACTACGCAGTTCGAGCCCCCTTACTAAAGAAACCGCGCAGAATGAGACTTAGTAGAAGTTGGCGAAAATAAACTTTTTCGATCAAAGTTATTGTTATTTCCCAAATTTCGTCAATATGTTTTGAGATTCGAGTTTTTGAATTTTAAGATTTGGAGCGAAAAAAATTTTTCCGTTAGGAGCCTGCTAGCATAACGTGCTAGATTGCTAGAAAAATTTTTGAACAACCCTCCAAATAGCTCCGTGGATAGAACTAGAGATTTAAGAGTCGGAAGAGAAAGGATTCGATAGTTTTTGACAAAATGTTTGTTTCCAAACCATTTTTGGGCCAGTTTTTTGCATTATTCCAGTGCTGTACTGGGCTACTGCGCTCGTTTCAAGTATTTTTATGCAATTTCAGCAAGAATTGCAAAAAAGTCTCTGAGAACCTATATAGGTAGTGAAGAAAGGCCAATCTAGCAAAGGCGTTTTTGTTGATTTCTCAGAGACTAACAAACCGATCAGAATAAGTTTGGTACCATAAGTCGACGTTTTTAACCACTTTAGGTTGATAACTTCAGGAGAGAACATTTTGGAATTTGTGAGGTTCGGAGGGTCCAACTTTTAGGGAACCCTCCGAGCGGCAGAAATTCTTATAAAATCACATTTTTATCAAGTAAGCTAGACCGCGATCGAAGGCTTTACAGTGGTGAAAGAACTTGTTTTCGTGATTTTTGGGGAACCCTCTGAAGCAACCCTCCGGAGTCAGTTAAGCCCCTTAACAACCCTCCTAAGTGGAAATTTTTCACGGAACTCTCCGAGATAGTTCAAACAGCCCCCAGAGTAAATTTAGGCTGTTTGGACCCATTTTAAGACTAGCTGGAGACCCCTTTGAGGCGAGAGTTGGAAAATTTTGAAAGTTGAGGGGACTCTCCGAAGTGACCCTCCGGAGTGACTTAAGCCCTTTAACAACCTTCCTTAGTGGAAATTTGGAGGGACCCTCCGGGAAAATTTAAACATCCTTGGATATCCTTTTAAGATCTAAACAGAAGATCGACCACTCACGAGACGTGTATTTTAGGAAATTAGTGGCCCAGTTGACCCGGAGATCCGCGATCAACTTCGGATTCTAAATCGGGTTCATCAAAAGCATCCGAACAAAATTTTTTTTGATTGTTATTTTGGTTGTGTGGTTTCCTTGAGCTACTTAATAGGAAGGCTCGGGCAATCCGCGAACACATGCCGGAAAGAAGGCCATCCGCGAAAGAAGGCCTCGGTGAGTGAATTAGTCAAGACACACTCACTTGAGAACACAGTGTCCTGGGCTTCGTTCGTTTGGAGTGTTCCAATCGAGAGAAGTCTTTTCATTAGGACTAAGTTTTATTTATCTGTTACTGAAACCATCACTGCTCTTTTGTAGAGAATTGTTTGTTTTTAAACAAAGCAGTAATTTGATACGTCTATTGGGACGTCCAAAACGGAGACCAAGAAAAATAGTCGGAGAAAGGAACAATCCTCCTTAGTCGAGCATTAGTCGGGCAAGATTGCGATGATGTCGAGCGTAAGTCCCAGAGAAGAGCAACCAGGTTAAACAGCGAAAAGAAGTTTCAAGACAATGTACGATGAACGCATGGCGTCGCTCCGAACTGATGGATTGTCTTCTGGCTATGACCATCCGGGGCTGGTGCACTCGGATATGGACTTCACACCTAGCCCGAGACAGGAGAAGAGCAAGAAAGCGTTGTCTAACTAGCCGACTAGACCAATGTCAGATGGGATAACGATGGGAGCATCCTCGACATTCGATAGGCAACCTCAATTCGTTGCAACCTCAATTGAGGTCATCTTCTCTAGGTCTTGCCCCACTGCTGGGATTGGCTGGCGACTTAAGTGACATGTTTACCAGTGTAATGACAGGCCTTGAAGAACTGCGAGACGATATGACCAGGAGGATAGATCGGGTTGACGAAAGGGCTCAACAAATCCATGAAATATTGAGAGACAAGCTGACAGACATAAAGTCACAAGCGAGAAGCGATCAGGCCCAACTGATTCGGAACACCGATCAGTGCCTGGCGGAAAGCTTGGCGCTGGCAACCAAGGAGTCACACTAAAGAAACGTTAGGATGACGAGAGAGATCGAGCGATTGTTGAAAGATCATGACATACCTATGCTCGTACGATGACTAGCCTAGAGAAAAACACGTGAACGCCGAGAGCTTGGTGCTGGCCTTAATTCGACTCAGGAATTTCCTGGTTGAGAGAGGAGTGACCTCTCTCGCTTTACCAGTCAATGATACTAATAGGGGAAAATTGCACCCGAGAGAGCTATATACCCTAGTACATGTAATATTTTCGGAAACGGACAAAGAGGTGTGCTTACATAAGAAGTATTATCTGAGCATATGCTAGAGCCACATTCATTGCTAATAGTTTGGGTTGGGCTTACTTTTAAGGCATTAGGATTAGGTTTTAGGATATTTATTACGTATTAGGTTTTTATGTGATAGTGCTGATGTGTGATATTCGTATGTTATATTATCGGTAGGTTATGTTTTATGTGATGCTTATGTCATGGAAGCCTGGATCATTCTTTGTACGAAAGGTGACAGCGTTCAATTATCTTACTTTGACAAGATCGCAGGTGGATGATCTTGTGCTAGCTTTTAAACTAAGAACCCAGAAAGCTCATGAGAGGAACTTTTATCTAAGGGGACGTCCAAATCGGAGACCACGAACAAAAGTCGGAGAAAGGAACAATCCTCCTAAGTCAAGCAGGGCAAAAATGCGATGATTTCGAGCGTAAGTCCCAGAGAAGAGCAACCAGGTTCAACAGCGAAAAGAAGTTTCAAGAGAATGTACGATGAACGCATGGCGTCCCTCCGAATTGATGGATTGTCTTCTGGCATTGACCATCCGGGGCTGGTGCACTCGGATGTGGACTTCACACATAGCCCGAGACAGGAGAAGTGCAATAAAGCGTTATCTAACTCGCCGACTAGACCAATTTCAGATGGGATAATGATGGGAGCATCCTCGCTATTCGATAGGCAATAGGATTTTGGATTGGAAGAACCGGAGTTGGCGAAGTTCACAGTCGCTCTCCTGAATGCATTAGGAAGAGAAGGCCATGGGACCACCCCACTGAAGTAGTCTTAGTGCTGGCTTTCAGCGAGTCCGGTACCGCCGAGCGCAGCAGGAATCGACTCATGCGATTGAGAAGCGGAGAGATGTCTGGGCATGACCTGGCTCGTGAGCTGGGTCTAGGCGAACAGAGAGACTATAGGCTGGGAGAAACGCCAATGCCGATACGCTCCAGTTCCTCAGCGCAGCCTCTCTTCGGATCAAAAAGATCACGTGATGGGCCGGCCCCATTGCATTCTGTGGACCCGCCAACCGCAGCTTCACCGTCAAAGAAGGTGAGAATGAACGAGCTCGAAACTCAGACGGCGGAAATCAGTGAAACTCTCGCAAAAAGGGACAAAGACTGGGAAGAATTAAAGTTTGAAGAGTATTAGGAGAAATCGAAGAATCCTGACGTATGGAAGAGAAAGTACGATGAGTTGCAGATCGATTTCAAGGAGGAGGAGATCAAGCACCTGAAGGAGCTCTACAATGCGAGAGTGAGCAAATTGTCATCAGATGTACTGGCAATGATGAGCCCTGATACGACGACCCAGGCTAAGGCTCAAGAGCTCTATAGACCGAGTAACGTGACTGCCCAGCAACGAATGAGCACGCCTTCAAACGCAGGAATTACGAAACCTGACCCCTCAGATAGCTACCTGGCGGGTGGGTGAAGACCTCAATTTCAGGAGAAATTTGAGTAGGTGGCCTCAGCTACGATGCAGGAGATACACCGAGCGAGGGACAGGAGCTTGGATAGGATTATTCCTTCTCAGCGTGTAGGCCAGTCACCTGTCAAAAAACAACAGATCTCACAGAACCGGCCGGTCCGGTACTGAGTGGATCCAATGCAAGGTCGCGAGTGATCGACATTTGAAAGGATCGCAACACCCGAAGGAATTTCGTGCAGGTAGCCGCAGAGAATCCGAGGGCGTGCCTGAATGATATGACCTGGAACCCGGCGACGATCCACCAGCCGGTGCCAACTGGCAGCCAACACCTGATCATAGGTGATAGCTTGGTCAACGATCCTAAAGATATCCTCCTTGAAGAATCGACTTGGGCCGAGAGGTGGTCCACCACAGGTGGCTCCCCAGGCAAGTACGAGTATCGCAACCCAACCTACAAGGACGCCACCGGCCCAAAAAATCTCACAAGCAGATCCTGCGGCGGTGATTGATACGAGCAAGGTCAGTGAGTTGCTAAGGAACAGACCAGACCCCAGTCCCTGAGGAGTATACAGAGCAGACAGGGCGATCAAATTGAGCATGAAGAAATCGAACTGCCACGCGGACGCGAAAATGCTCAATGGGCATGACCCTACGGTATCCGGTTTATACCGGATAGCGGGCGTAGACTGGCTTTTGGCCGAAGAGGAGCAATTTAGTTCCGCCACTAAACTGCGACTGGCAGATCTGGAGGGTTCGTCCAGAGACAACACTGTGGGACCACTGAGTACGAGATCACTGACGGCGGTCCGTAACCAGGTGAGAGAAAGAGCCCCACCGAATCGTAAAGGGAAATTTCTGACTGAAACCAAACCCAACAACAACAACACAAGATGTGTAGACAGTTCATGAAACCCCCGGGACAGTCCGTGGGCGAGTATTCCAGGGATTACCCTAGAGTCAGTTCTGTGGAAGGTGATGAGAGAAGATATGCATATCTGGAGTCACCTTAGAGAGACAGCCTGTTTGCACCCAATGACCCTCAAGAGATGAAGCTGGGGAAAATCTTGATAATGTCTAGCTCCGACAACCTAT